GTTGCGTGAGGCGTTGTTTACATTGGTCTGTATCATTTCATGTAAGTTGTTTGGCTGACAAGGCCGTTGCATTAGACTTTGTTTACATTGGTCTGTATCATTTCATGTAAGTTGTTTGGCTAACAAGACCGTTGCGTTAGACTTTGTTTACATAGGTCTGTATCATTTCATGTAAATTGTTTGGCTGACAAGGCCGTTGCGTTATACTTTGTTTACATTGGTCAGTATCAATTCATGTAAGTGTTTAAAGGATAAAGAAAATCACAAAAACAAACGTAAATATAAATATATATATATACTTAAATTATCTTAAAACAGGTTTAAAACTTATTACACATTTTAAATGAAATCTTCTGAATAACAACTAAAAACTGTTTTCCATATAATTTTGGTATGGTGAAAAAGTTGTATTTCTTGTAAGCCAGTGTGAGGCTTCTTTTTAATTGAAACAAAGATAGAATATATAATTTTATTAAATATAGGAAACCTTTAGAATTATGTAGGAAGACATGAAAATTAGTAACTAAATTCTACAACAAGGCAAGCAAATATTATTCTGTCTTTAAAAAAAATATTACACTAAAATCTTCTCAATTTTCAATTATTAAGATATTTGACTTGTAGACACTACATAATTCATAAAGATTTCTCCTGATGATTGAAATGATTTCATCCAGTACTTATTATTCTAATGAAATATAACAGGTCCTGCAACAGATGCGTCAAATTGAATCACCTAGGAGTGATTGAATTTAGAACAAAAAATAAACAAAACTGAGGCAGATAACTCAGGTGTATACACGTCATAAGGCTTCCGACCAGCAGACCAATCAACTAACAACAGACGATATGTATAAGGATAACGTTCGAAGATACATACTACAAATATGCTTGCAGGCATTTATCAGTACGCCTCCTCGTGGTTGTACACATTAATGTTAATTATTAGTAAAATAAAGAACACTATTAAAATGTGTTAAGAAATATTAATGTGCTTAGCTTTTTAAACTTTATAAGAGAGAGATCTTAGAAAGAGGTTTAGTAATTTTTTTTATTCCCGAGGAATATAATAAAGACACCATTATTATGTTCTAGTAATTTAGCTTATATTTAAAACTCAGTGGACAAATGTTTAAGAGAGCGGAGGCAAATTTAATCAGTTTTTGTTGTTTTGAAATATACATACTATATTAAATAAAAATAAAATATTACAATTGTCTGGAAAAATACAAATCCATCCAATAGAATAAAAGCTAACTAACTAGCCTGAGTCAGCCGAAATATCATTTTGTTGTCAAAGTTTTTCAATTCATATTTCAAATAGCGCCAAAGTGACTGAAATAACCAACTGTAGACAAGAAAAAAGAATTTGGAGTAACTTATACATGTTACGCTCTTGAGGAAAATACATTGAAAATACCTTTAGCAACCCGGAACGACAAAAGGTAAAAGGTTGTCATTTTCTGTGTCTGTAAGTCTGTATGCATATCTTGCGTACATGAAAAGTACTGAGAAATTATGGAAACGATAATTAAATGCGTCACACGTGAAACTGTTAAAATACAGTCGGGATTGTGAGTTCTTTGTGAAACTGTTAAAATACAGTCGGGATTGTGAGTTCTTTGTGAAACTGTTAAAATACAGTCGGGATTGTGAGTTCTTTGTGAAACTGTTACAATACAGGCGTGATTGTGAGTTCTTTGTGAAACTGTTAATGTACAGTTGGGATTGTGAGTTCTTTGTGAAACTGTTAAAATACAGACGGAATTGTGAGTTCTTTGTGAAACTGTTAATATACAGTTGAGATTGTGCGTTCTTTGTGAAACTGTTAACATACACTTGGGATTGTGAGTTCTTTGTGAAACTGTTAAAATACGGTCGGGATTGGGAGTTCTTTGTGAAACTAATAATATACAGTTGTGATTGTGAGTTCTTTGTGAAACTGTTAAAGTACTGTTGGGATTGTGAGTTCTGTTTCAAACTGTTAATATACAGGTTGGATTGTGAGCTCTTTTCGAAACTGTTAATGTACATTTGGGGTTGTGGGTTCTTTGTAAAACCGTGCATGTGTTTATACAGTCATTTAATACAGCCATTGATGTGTTTTATCTTGGATTTCTGTAATCTGATAAAGATATCACTTTGATCTGTATGAAATATCTGACGTTATATGATTTATATGCTTTCTAAGGCTTATGTACTTAATTAATATATGATAACGAGGGTCTTACACTGCTAAATTAGGGACGGCTAGCGCAGATAACCCTCGTGTGGCTTTGCGCGAAATTCAAAACAACCAACCAAATAATAAGAAATTTGAAAAGGGAATATCACGGTAAATATTTTTGTTAAATTTCTTCTCTAAAATGATTTTGTGTCAGCCAATTGTTCATTCACCAAAAATATCTACATTTATTAGTCCTTCTATTTTTATGAGATTAAATTTATGTGAATATTTTAACACAGAAAAAATATGTTTTTATGTTTCAAATTAAATCTCAGATAATGCTCTTATTCACTGAAAATTGGTCAAGTACTAGATAAATCTATTATTGGCACAAACTTCAAATATGTGAACACTTTTTAAATGGTTTAGTTTCATTTCTAAACAAGGCCTTAATTATTTACTTAAACTGTAAATGTGTTAAAACTTTTTCCATAAAGTGTTTTAACTTTTGAACGCACTTTTATAAACGTTTTATGCTTTTAATTAAAGTTAGTTTGTTTACTTTTTTGTTTTGTTGAATTTTGTACAAATCTATTAGAGGGGTATCTGTGCTAGCCATCTTTAATTTACAATTGAAAGATTAGTGAGAAGGCAGTTAGTCAACAACCGAATATGGGATTGACCGTTACATTTTAACGTCCAAATGGCTGAAAGAATAAACTTGTTTGGTGATAGGATTTGAACTCCGCTACCCGCTGACAAGTAAAGCCAGTCTACCCAAACACGGTGTTCCTTCAGTAAAACTACGATAATCAGGGTGAAATGTACCAGTACAGTTTCTGTATAAGATAATTCAAAGAAAATCTTACCTCTTGCAAGATTAGTTTACTGTTTAGAAAAACATTCTTATTGGATGTAGATTTCATTCCATGACTTTTTTTTATTCTTGTATGACAGGTTCATTGACTTTTCAATAACACTCAGGTATTCCAATGGATAACAGATTTGCTCACACTGTAAGCCTTGAAAACTCTAAACCAAAACCGGTGTCATCTTCTCTAACATGTATTCGAAAACAGGGATCACGTGAAAACTCTATACCAAAACCGGTGTCATCTTCTCTAACATGTATTCGATAACAGGGATCACGTGAAAACTCTATACCAAAACCGGTGTCATCTTCTCTAACATATATTCGATAACAGGGATCACGTGAAAACTCTATACCAAAACCGGTGTCATC